TTTTAAATATAATTTATTGTCAAGTTAGCTAACATACAGTGTATAGGCTATGCTCCTGGCTTCAGGAGTAGATTCCCAGGATTCATCACTTATATTCAGCCTCCAGTGGTCATCCCAACAAGTGCCCTCCTCGATGCCCATCACCCATTTCCCCCTCTCCCCCACCCCCCCCCATCAACCCTCAGTTCTCTATATTTAAAAGTCTCTTAAAATATATCCTTTGTCAGAATAAGTTTCCTTCTCCTCCTGGTTTCCTAAAGGTTTTTTCTTAAAGTTATGAATTGGAGTGGTTTTCCCTTTATATTTACTTTTTATTTCCTTTAGTCTATTCATGTGTTAAGTTATAGTCATGTATTTTCTAAATACATATTTAGATTTACATGTTTAGATTGTAGCTTTTAAATGCAATCCTTGCATTCCTGAGCTACCTCAACTTGATAACAGTGTATTATCTTTTTTACATACTGAGGAGTTGATTTGCTAATGTTTTATTTAGGATTTTTTATAGTTATTTTCTTTTTTCAAGTTTTTAGTTAAATTCCAGTTAGTTAACATACAGTGTAACATTAGTTTCAAGTGTAGAATCTAGTGATTCGTCACTTATAATACCCAGTGCTCATCGTAACAAGTATCCTACTTAACACCTATCACCCATTTAACCCATCCCCCCACCCTCTCCCTTCCAGTAACCCTCAGTTTGTTCTCTATAGTTAAGAGTCTGTTTTCTGGTTTGCCTCTCTTCCTGCCTGTCCTCCCTGCATGTTCATCTCTTTTGTTTCTTGAATTCCATACCAGTGAAATCATATGGTGTTTGTGTTTCCCTGGCTGACTTCTATCACTTAGCATAATACTCTGTAGCTCCAACCATGTTGTTGCAAATGGCAAGATTTGATTCTTTTTTTTATGGCTGAGTAATATCCCATAGTGTGTGTGTGTGTGTGTGTGTGTGTGTGTGTGTGTGTGTGTGTGTGTGTACACACATCACATCTTCTTTGTCTATTCATCAGTTGATGGACATTTGGGCTCTTTCCATAATTTGGCTATTGTTGATATTTATATTCATGAGTAAAATGGATGTTTTTCCTTTCTCATGCTGTCTTTGTCTAGTTTACATATCAAGATTTTACTGGCCCCCCAAAAAGGAAATGGCTAATATTCCTCTTTTTCTGATCTCTGAAAGAATTTGTAGAAGATTCAAATCACCTGTATCTTGAAAGTTTGGGACGTGCCAGTAAAATCACGTAGGCTTGGAGTTTTCTGTGAATACTGTTAACTACTGTTTCAATTTTTAAAAAGTCTGTCTTATCTATAGTTATGTCTTTTTCATTCATATAATTCATAAAATTATTTATGTCATCTTTTTTTGATCAGTCTATTATGAGGTTGGTGTTTTCAAATCTTGATCTTCTTTTAGCTTTGTTTTTTAGTTTGCTGATTTCTGCTCAGATTTTTAGTATTTTAGTATCTCTTTATTCCTTTTGGGTTTATTCTATAGTTTTCCTAATTTTTAAGCTGGGCATTTAATTCCCAGCTTAAATAAAATAAGCTTGCCTTATTGAAATTTTAGTCCCCTTCAGTTGGTGTACTTGGGTCTGGAAGGATTCCACCAGCATTTCTGACCCAGAAAGGGTCAATAATTCTGACCTACTCCTTTTCTTGCTGTCATAGTCCCTCTAACACAGGACCAGACCTGCACAGGTGGTTGTCTGAGGGGCACTTTGCTCCATAAGACTGTTTCAGAACATGTGCTCTGTATTTCAGTGTGATCTTAGCTTAACTGGTCACTTTTTTTTTTCTTCTAGTACTATTTGTTAGGTCAAAAAACTGTTAATGTGTGGAGATGCTAGAATTTAGAGGATGTGACCCCTGTGCTTCAGATGAGGAACCCACAGGAGTGAGGTGGGATGTCCAGTGAAACAACCACTAAGGAAGAGTGAAACCCAAGTCATGATACTATAGACTGTGCTCTTTCTACGAATCAACCGCTCTCAACACATATGAGTATACATTTTACAAAATGGCAGGGTCATAATGACCTTGTTCATTCAATATGATCAACATACACAGTCTCTTTTTTGTGATTCCAGAAAATGCAGCTGGGAAAAACATGACATTAGCAGTAAAACTATGTGATTTGCTTGCCTCATGAGGGCTTGTGTGTTTTGTATTGTTTACCATTATTGGTTCGTGTTTATTTGTTCCTATTGTATGTGAAGGCTTCATACTGCAGTGTTTCAGTGAGTGTAAGTCTTAGAATATTTTTCTTTCTACTTTTTGACTTCTGAGAAGTAGCATGGCTCAAGGAAGGGAAATAGTAGAGAGATTGTGAGTGGGGGTAGATAAACAAATGGCAATTTGTCATGACCTTTGTGGAATAGACCCAGTGTTTTTTTACAGTGCAGCAGCTGACAATAGTCTGTTTCTGAAGAAAAATACAGTCCATATGCTTAGAAATGATGTATCCTGCATGCTCATTTTAAAGGGAAAAAAAGGCATTTATCTTAATTTTGCTGAGGTCTCTTTAGTATCCCTCTTGGGCTGTTAATATTTTTTTGGAAGACATGTCCTAGATTATGAATTGGCTTGCATGGGGCAGAGGTCTCCCTGAAACCCCTGGTTCTTAGTAGCCTCAAGAGAGGTGTTGCACAAGTTCTAAACATTCTGGGGTTGAAGCCAAGTGTTTGGTGACTGTGTTGCTTTTGCAGCTGTGGTTTAAATTAGAAACATTCTACCTTCTCAACAGAAAGTTTACAGGGATCCAGATTTTTTAAAAAGCTTTTTATAGCCTATAACTTCCAAAAGATGTATATTGGCCTCTGTGTTTTGTTTTTTTGATTCAGAATAAATGAATTACAACAAAATTTAGATTAAGGAGAACTATACCTTTTGACAATATTTCTATAACAAGCAGTCAATCTCACAATTAAGAAGAACGTACAATGAACTTAAATTATCTGTTTCTTTATTCTCCCTTTATGTCTTCAGGTATTTTTAAAATTTATTTTAAATATTCAGATATTCTAAAAAAAAATTATATAAATCCTGGCCATGTCTGGGAGTAGAACAGCATACAGATTTAGGCAGTTCATCCATGTTTCAATGTGGTAAAAATGATCCCAGCCCTTCCAAACATGAATTTAGAGGCTTAGCCCACCACCAGTCTTACTGCACACACCAAGCAGGGCCCGTATGCACTTCAAGAGAAGCTTTCGCGTGTGGGCTTCCACACTGGATGGCCTTATAACACACCAGCTTTTTGAATCCATTTCAAGGATGTGAGAAAACTATTTCACAAGATGCTATTCCAAAGAATTCAACTTTTATCGTATCACTGGTATTGATCATCTGCATGGGGAAATTTCCAGATGCTTCATGCTGCTTTGGGATTATCATGGCTTTACCTAATCCTCACTGTTCCATCCAGGTTTTAACTTTCAGAAAGAAACTTGGAGACACTTTTTATGTTCACCGTGTTGAGTTTGGGATAACAGTTTGCAAGGACAGATTTTAGAGTAGGACAGAAGTGGGTTGTATGCCCAACTCTGGCCCATTTTATCAAGGTGACTTTGAAACCGTTACTTATGTCCCCTTCATGAAACTGTTTCCTTATCTGCAAAATCGGAATAATTTCACTTGCTACTAGGTGTGTTATCCATAGCAAACAGGAGAACAAATGTGGAGCAGTTAGCACAGGACATGGCACATACTAAAGGCACAACAAGTGGGAGGATTTGTTGTTGTTATGCACGTTAGTACAAAATTTGTACGGATATTATGACTTGGTTTTCATCTGGGGCAATCTACTCTAGGGCTAACATTCCTCTAAAATGTAAGGGTTGAACTAAAAACAACCTCTTATGAGCCCCTTCCAGTTCACTGAATAATTCAGAATAGAATTGATAAATTGACTTACGGCCTGAAAAGTTTATATCATCTAGGCTTCTTATGAAGGAACAGAGCAAAGTCCCAGATTCCAGAATGTCAGAGGGATGATGGAGTAGGTGAGGAAATGGGGATGGAATTTCTCATGGCACAGGTCCCTTTTCTGAAGGGATGAAATACTAAGCACTGGGAGCCTGCCTGACAAGGAGTGAGATGGCCGTATATAATATTGCAAATTCATGTTTGGGTAAGAACTTAGCAAGAAACAAAGATGCTACTTTCTTAATATGGATCAATTAGTTTTTCATTCAGTGGATGAATGAGTCAATAAATGAGCTAAACCTGCTTCATGAAAATATTTATTTTCAACGTCTTCAATATTTTATTTCATTCTATGAAATGAATAATTATAGGTGACCGAAGATTCTTTAGGTCAATAGAATTGGAAAACCCTTGCCTCATGCAGTTCTAGGTAGTTGGAAGCAAAATAGTACAAATTGAGTCATTTTGAGGAGCAAGATATCATATGGAATATGGAGGGTCACTACTTTTATGTCTTCTCTCAAATTTAAGGATAAGGGAAAATGGTTACCTTTGTAATTATGTAGGATAGGGGAAAAGATGGAATTTTTACCCCATCTAAAAATACTTATTGCTCAAAGATGAAACACACCTACATGTTCATGATGGAGAAATGATAAATCAGGTCTTTAGACTGTGTCCCAGCCGTGAACTCTGAATTGTCTTGGCAAAGAGTAGACCAAGGGTAACACGAGGGTACAGGGAAAATGACTAATAGAGACACAAAATATTGTTGGAACTAGAAGGCAGCTGGCTACCTCCATTTATAATCCAGAATTTCATGTTTCTGCAGGGTCTTGGACCAGGAAAAAAATGTTGTGATTGTGTGAATTTTTGTGGATCTTTTTCTCTAAGGCTCTTCACAGATCAGAAGGTCGGGGCACCTCAGAAATTCTGCCTTCTATTGCACCCAGTTTGCTATAAAATTTTGTGTGCTCTTATTTGTGTGTCTTGATTACAAAATATCCACAATTTTAGGTGTTTGTTCTTGCCTTTTCAGATTTCAAGTTGGAGACTTTTTAGGTCATAAGAGGAAAATGCTGCTGATCTTGTTCCTTATAGTAATTTGTTCCCATGTCTCTATGAACAAAGATCCTGGTAAGTAAAAAAAAAAAAAAAAAAAAAAGTTATTTTCCTTAATTTTTATTACAGAAAATAGATCAGTTTGACCTACTTAAAGAGTTTTGCTTTGCTTTACTTTGCTTTTGATGGTGGTGAAGGGATGGATGGTAGCTCAATTTCTTTGTGATGTTATCCTGTGCTCCTTTAAAGATCATTTGTTCTGGACCTTATTCCTTGGTTATGATAGAAAGATATGAGAGCTATTATTTTGTCCTCAATTTCAACCCCTTTTAGGCCTTTGGGGAGGTTGCATTAAAATTCTATCATTTAATATTAGATTCAGGCCTGGAACATTTGGAATGTTTCTTCCTAGTTCATTTGTGCCAAAACATTGTCTTAGTTAAGTATCCAGATTTGCTCCAATTTAAACTGTTAGCTTATTGTAAAGAGAGTGCTTTTGCCCTGAAGAGAAAGCTCCATAGCTGTTTGCTGTCTGTCAGTTACCTTTGTCCAGTGGACATGAAGTCAAAATACTGGCCTGCCCCTCACTCCTTGACCACCTCAAAATAGTGACTACTTGTACCGGTCACTTCATGTCCAGGGCCACCTATATTGGCTTTCATAGCTTTCTCAAGGACTGTGACCTTGGAAGCAAGTTTTCAGAAGAGATAAACTAGACTTTGTTCTGCAAACATTTTTCTTTGATGTCTCACGGGGCTTGATATTAAGTTGTTTTAAAGAGAAGCAGTGCTTTTTCCCCAAGTGTTCCACTGTTCAGACATAACGCTGAGCTGTATCAGAACCTGAATCTGTCTCACATGCCAATTGTCCACATTTCCTTTTTCCATGCAAGTTGTGGGGGCTTATTCATGAATAGAAAGGTCACTTTTGGTCACAAGTCAAGCCATCCTGCGCAGGGATCCCCTGACAGTCCTCGTAGGGATTCTGGCCTTCTCTTAGAAGACAATATTGATTCACCTTCATTAAGACACTGCTGACTGTATGATTATCAAAAGAATCTCAAACTAGTTGAAATTAGGTTTCAGATTTAGAAGACAAGGTGTGATGTTATCCATCATGCCTCAACCAGACTGCTATCAAGAAAATGAAATCACACACAGGGTTGCCAACGCTGGTTTCCTAACAGGTGTAGACAGAAAGAGATGGAGGTTATTTTCATTTGATTAGAATTTATCTTGTAACCACTTCTGTTCATCAGAATCTCAAAGTGAGGAAGGACTTTACATATTTTCTAGTAGAATCCACTCATTTGAAAGGTGAGGAACCTGAAGCCCAAGTATGTAGAATGGTTTGACAGGGCAGGTGGAGTTAGCTGATTAAAAAAAAAAAAAAAGTCAGGACTTCCATTATTCAAGTACACTATATTTGCTTAAATATATACCATCAGACAGACAGACCTCTCCCTACCACAGAAAAGACATAGATGTTCTACTAGAGTGGGGAGGACTCTGCATTCAAATGAGCAGGTCACCAATAAACAATATTTTGTGCTTGAATCCAGTGATTCCCTATCACATTAAAATATAATTCTACATACTTAGCATTGAACCTGGCACTGAATGAATCCTTCAAAGTTCAGCAAAGTTATTGTATTCCTATATACAAATTCTGTTTTTAATAGAAACCAAAACTGTAATCCCTTTCCTAGCTTAGGGCATAGTGGTTTCCATCACATTTTACTTATGTGAGCATTATAGTGATCATTCACATGGCTCGCCAAAAAATATTATAAAGAACTTTAATTTTACCACATTTTTATGATTTTTAGGTATTTTTTAAACGTCATCCATTTAACATTTGGGAATACAAACTAATATGTTTGTAAGTCAATCAGATCAATGTTACATTGCTTAAAGAGGAATCACAATGAAAGAGCATCTCCACCCAAATTCAAAGCAATGTGATTCTCAATTAAATTTTTTATTCTCTTTATATAAACTGAGATCAAATTTTGAAAGCAAAAAAAAAAGGTGGGGGATTGGGAAGTATCCACTAAAGATATAAAAACCCAGGATTTTCTACTTCTCTAAATTTACCTATTTTTTTTTAATTCCACACAAAAGTGATACTTAATTTGCGAGGAGTTCAAATGCAAAGGTGTATGAAAAAGCCCACGAAATAAAGATTTCTTTTCTTGGGCAAATACGTAATGTCACACTGTTATTTTCAGTTCATTGGGAAGGTATTAAAAATACAAATAAAGGAAAGTAGGTTTTATCCAAATGGTTGGCATTAAACAGGTGGTACATTTCTAAAGTTTGTGCTTTGTTTGTATGTCTCTGGGTTTTTAGGCCCTGAGTATGCAGATGTCGTGTTTCTGGTGGACAGCTCTGATCACCTGGGAACTAAGTCCTTCCCTCTTGTGAAAATGTTCATCACCAAGATGATCACCAGTCTCCCCATCGAGGCCCACAAGTACCGCGTGGCCCTGGCTCAGTACAGCGACCGGCTCCACAGTGAGTTCCAGCTGAGCACCTTCAAGAGCAGGAACCCCATGCTGAACCACCTCAAGAAGAACTTCGCCTTCATCGGAGGCTCCCTGCGGATAGGAAACGCTCTCCGGGGGGCCCACAGGACCTTCTTCTCCGGAGCGGCTGGCGGGAGGGACAAGAAGCAGTTCCCTCCGATTCTGGTGGTCCTGGCTTCGGCGGCGTCCGAGGACGACGACGTGGAAGAGGCCTCCAAGGCCCTGCGGGAAGACGGGGTGAGAATCATCTCCGTGGGGCTGCAGGAAGCTTCTGAGGAGGAGCTGAAGGCCATGGCCACGGCTCAGTTTCACTTCAGCCTTCGGTCGGTCAGGGACCTGGGCGCGTTTTCCCAAAACATGACGCAGATCATCAAGGAAGCGACCCAGTACAGGGATGGAGCGGCAGATGACATTCTTGTGGAAGGTGGGTTCAGAGCACATGTATAGAATGATGATTAATTTGCTTTTGAAAAATCAGCATGGGGAGAGGATTGAAACTGTGAGTCTCCCTTTCCTCAAAAGTTGGGCTGCATTTTCAGATGTTAAATATTCACGTGTTCAAGAGGACCCAAGGATTGTGACCATTATAAATCCAGTGAACCTCACAAAGCTTGGTTTTTCCATGTTTCACTTATGTTGCATGTCATCGACACATCTTAAAATCCAGGGACACCTCCCTACCACCCAGCCTATCTCTGAGCTATCAGTCTCCTTGGGCTTTAGTTGCTATGTAGTTTTATTTACTGGTTCCTTTACAGGGCAGATTTGTTCCTAAAGAAATCCTTGCCTCCTCAAACCACATAATGTAATCACAGAATGATAGCACTGGAAACAGCTTCAGGAAGGCCAAACCCTTGCTTCTGCAGAAACTCCCAGGCGTTCTTTGAGGTGACACGGCTTGGTCCCAGGCCAGGCTGAAGTTTGAAATCGGGTAGATCGGGCCCTTGGATTCCCAGGCTCAGGTACCTTCAGCCCACATGGTCTCCCTTCCTGCTGCTCTAATCCTGATGAGCTTCCTGTGTTCTGCTCTGCCTCTAACCTGCTGCCCTGTGTCCCAGTCTGTCCTCTTGTACTGTTAACAAGAGGGGCCAGGAGTTTACGAACATCATCCAAGTGAAGGGCAGGGGAGAGCCAGGAAAAAACAATTTACTCCAAGTGTACAAGTCTTACTAAGTAACATAGGAAATTCATATTACTGCTGCTTAAATCTGCTTGAACGAGACAATATAATTGTCTATTGATAATAGGGAATGATTTTCTTGTGGTAATCTATGAAAATGCGAATCCTATTACTAACATCTTTCCCAAATAAAATAGTAGAAAGTGCAATCACTATTCCATTACCACATCTTAGGAATATTTGGACTCTACCTATTGATTTTAATAATATTTTAATATGATCGCAGTAGCAGCTATTCACTGAGTGGCTTTTATGCACCAGCTCCCATAGCGAAGCACGGTATCACATTTAATCCCCGTAGCAATTTCATGAGATAAATGTTATTTTCACAGATAAGGAAATCAAAGCTGGGAGTTGAGCTAAGATCCAGTATTTGAATCTAGGACCTTCTGATCTCAGCTTCATAATCATTTTGTATACAGCCTTCTTTCTTTAAGTGTATAACCAAGCTCTGGTAGATGTTCTCCACGCCTTCTAATGCTGAGCAAAGATGCCCTACCTCTAGCTAAACTTCTTCATTCCTTGTCCACACAGTTTGCCAAGGCCCATCTGTGGCTGATGTGGTGTTCCTGTTGGATGTGTCCATCAATGGCAGCCAGGACAACTTTGACTATCTTAAGGAATTCCTGGAAGAAAGCATATCTGCTCTTGACATAAAGGAGAACTGCATGAGGGTTGGCCTTGTGGCCTACAGCAATGAGACAAAGGTGATAAATTCCCTCAGCAGGGGTGTAAATAAGTCGGAGGTTCTCCAGAATATACAGAACCTCTCTCCCCAGGCTGGGAAGGCCTACACAGGAGCTGCCATCAGAAAGATCAGGAAGGAAGTGTTCAGTGCACGCAATGGCAGTCGGAAGAATCAGGGGGTGCCCCAGATTGCCGTGCTGGTGACCCACAGACCATCAGAGGATAACGTGACCAAGGCGGCCGTTAACCTCCGGCGCGAGGGCGTGACCATCTTCACCATGGGCATAGAGGGGGCCAGCGACAGCCAGCTGGAGAAGATCGCCTCTCACCCCGCTGAGCAGCATGTGTCCAAACTGAAAACCTTCTCTGACCTGGCCGCTCACAACCAGACATTTCTGAAGAAGCTGCGGAACCAGATAACGCACACGGTTTCTGTCTTCTCAGAACGGACTGAAACGCTCAAATCTGGTAAAGTCCTTAGCTGAGAGAAGGATTAATCGGATCCTTCTCTTTTTCTCCTCTCAGGTTATTCTACATAGAGAAGGGACTGGCAGGGCATGCTGTGGGTAGGGAGGATAAGTTCCTGATTTCTTACCTTTGTTTGACGGTTCGAAGTGTAAATTGGGGGGAGAATGAAAGCCACTGTAGTGCTGGAATGGGGAGGAGGGATTTCCTATCCAGGATTCCTCATGACTTAACACCCTAGAACACCATCCTTTGCTGTTTCTCTGCCTTTACTTGTCTCTTTTTCCCCTTTGCCTTTCTTTCCTTTATTTCTTTATTCTTAATGTTAATTCATTTATTTTGAGAGGAGGGGAGGGATGGAGAGAGAATCCCAGGCAGGCTCAGCGCTGTCAGCACAGAGCCAAATGTGGGGCTTGAACTCACGAACTGTGAGATCATGACCCGAGCCGAAATCAAGAGTCAGACACTTCACCGACTAAGCCACCCGGGCACTACTGTTTCTTTTTTCTTTCTGTATTTTTCTCTCCTTTTCTTCCATCGTCGTCAAATTCCAACTTAGAGAAGAAACAGGAAGCATGACTTGGTTGGAGAACAGAGTGATTTGTTGTGAAGTATTGTAGTATCTGTGAGTTTGGAGAGACAGACAGCAGTGTATTTTAAATATTTTGCACGTACAGATGCATACTATATAAACTATGTGTAGATATACATGCGCATATATATGTATACATTCTTCCACAAACATTGCTGGCATGTTTACTGTAAAAGCGTAGTTGTCCTACACAAATAAGACCACTGACGACGATACCCCTAGTTTTGTTAATTGGCTAGGAGTAGATGAGAGTAAATAGTTTGTTCAGGTTTTCAAGAAAGAGAGCTCCTCTGTCCACAATGTCCAGTTAAATACCTTCTCCATTTCCCAACATACCACTTGCCTCTTTGCTAAGCAGTTATTCACTATTGAGGGAAGTGACTTGTAAAAATCATCTTTGTGTCTTCTTTCTAATCTTTTATTATATCCAGATTTGCTTTGATTCATGGCAGAGAACTATCCAAATTGTCGTAAACTGTCAGAAGCAATTCATTTGGGCCCAGTGATGTTAAATTCTTCCTACGTTAAGCTAGTAGAGTGTCTCTTATGCCTAGGAGCTGTTTTCCATTTTTCTGTCTCAAGACGCTTGTATTGTTCCGCTTCCCATCTATTTTCATTCCTTCTTCACATTTGCCTCAGTGCCACAGCCAACCTTTCTGGTTCCATTTTAGGTTGTGTGGACACTGAAGAAGCAGACATTTATCTGCTCATTGATGGCTCTGGAAGCACCCAGGCCACCGACTTCCATGAAATGAAGACCTTCCTGTCAGAGGTCGTAGGGATGTTCAACATCGCTCCCCAAAAAGTGCGGGTTGGGGCCGTTCAGTATGCTGACAACTGGGACTTGGAATTTGAGATCAATAAATACACTAACAAGCATGACTTGGGAAAGGCCATTGAGAACATCCGGCAGATGGGTGGGAATACAAACACGGGTGCAGCCCTGAATTTCACGCTAGGGCTATTGCAAAAAGCAAAGAAGCAGCGAGGAAACAGAGTGCCGTGTCATCTTGTTGTCCTGACGAATGGCATGTCCAAGGATAGCATCTTGGAGCCTGCAAACAGACTGAGAGAAGAGCTCATTCGTGTTTATGCCATTGGGGTCAAGGAGGCCAACCAAACACAGCTGCGAGAAATTGCAGGCGAGGAAAAGAGGGTATACTACGTGCATGACTTCGACGCTTTGAAAGACATAAGAAACCAAGTTGTTCAGGAAATCTGTGCTGAAGAAGGTAGGGGACATGGTGACTTTACCTTTTGACTTCAGCTCATAAATTACTATCCTGCAATATTCGACATCACATTAGAGAAACAACATAAATTTCCAAGTCAATGTTTGTTGACTTGAGTAGCTATGTTTGTTCTCCAGAGCAGAACTAGGAGCCCATTATGGTGTTCTGATTAATATTGGAAGCATAAGAAAGGTGTTTGGAGGAGTTCTCCCTAATAAATATTCATTAGCCACTTCCCACAGATCCCTGCTAGGTTAGACCTATAATTAGACACTGCAAATGATACCTGATTTTAAGTACCTCAGATGTATTTAAATTGCTTTTTAATAAAACTTCTATGAAACCTTTTAGAACTATGTCAGTAGTCTTCAACCAAGGGTGATTTTTGCCTTCTTGGGGGATACCTGCAATGTCTAGAGTAACTTTTGTTTGTCGTAACTGGAGGAGTGCTCCTGGCATCTAACAGGTAGAGGTCGGGGTACTGCTAAATGTCCTACGGTGTCCTATGATGCATGGGCTGCCCTCCATGATAAAAATTATCATAGTGCTAAGGTTAAGATACTCTGAATTACAAATTAAAGATATAAATAACAAATGGAATAGCCTCACTTTTATGGCCTTCAGTGCTTTATTTACCTGTTAGCCATCCTCACCAAACTCACACTTAACTTCAGTATAGAATTATTTGTGTTTTGGATTTCTTGTTTGCCCTTAATCCTTTCACCTGAAGCCCACTTGAATAAACACCTTGTTTTCTTCCGTGCAGCCTGCAAAGAGATGAAAGCAGACATCATGTTTCTGGTGGACAGTTCTGGCAGTATAGGACTTGAAAACTTCAGCAAAATGAAAACATTTATGAAAAACCTGGTGAGCAAATCTCAGATTGGGGCAGATCGGGTGCAGATCGGTGTAGTCCAGTTCAGCGACATCAATAAGGAGGAATTTCCGCTTGATAGATACATGTCCCAGCATGAAATTTCAGATGCAATAGACCGGATGGCTCACATTGGAGAAACCACCTTGACGGGTGGTGCCCTGACCTTTATGTCTCAGTACTTCAGCCCTGCCAAGGGGGCCCGGCCCAACGTCAGGAGGTTTCTCATCCTCATCACTGATGGTGAAGCTCAGGACATAGTCAAGGAGCCAGCAGTAGCTCTTCGACAAGAAGGCATAATCATCTACTCAGTGGGGGTGTTTGGCTCCAATGTCACCCAGCTTGAGGAGATCAGCGGGAGGCCAGAGATGGTGTTTTATGTTGAGAATTTTGATATTCTGCAGCACATTGAAGATGATCTTGTTTTTGGAATATGCAGCCCCCGTGAAGGTAGGTGTGAGCACATGCACTAGTGGCATTTTCCAAAATACGTCTGTGTTAGCTATTGTTGCTTGAATTAAATAAACTACTATTTGAACCTTGTAAACTTTGCTTAATTGGAATGTTCATCCCCGTGGCTTTTTACCTACGTATAAAATGCACCTTTCCTCATCAGAACTGTCGAATGAATACAGAATAATTTTGGTCCACCTGGATTGGTCCCCATTTGTAGACAAAGAGCACGAGGACAATGTCTTAGGCCTGGTTCCCCGGAAACAGAAGCTAAGTCAGAGGCTCTTGGGGAAATGATTTTATTGAAGGCCTTTTCAGAAAGGGGGTAAGGGAAGTAGGACAGGGCAGGGTAGGAGCTGAGCGAGGAGGCAGTCTCAGCTATAGTACAGCTTCAGCCTGACCCCATGGGGAACCCTGGAGCCTGAGTTACACCAGAGTCTGTTCCACCTGGAGGCAAGCAGCCAGCCTCATATAACCGGTGTCCTTGGGCTATGTTTGAGGCAAGCAGTACTGGAGCATAACCTCCTGGGCGAGGTGACTGCCCTTTGACCTAACACCCAATGTATGTTTATTTGTTTTACAATTTTTAAAAGCCAGTACTTTTGTGAAGTGAGATAAATTTGTAAAAACACTTTGATACTAAATCCTATCAAGGAGGAGTATCCTATGGGAACATGAGCAATGGATGCCTTGAAAGAGGTAAATAGTAGAGCCCCCATCCTCTGCCCGTGAAACTGCAGAGTAATGCAGGTGATGAAACAAGTCCAGCAAATAGAAGGGACTGATTGACATTGTGATCCCTGGGCCTTGATGCCTGAGGCGTTCTGAAAAATCTCTACGAAGAAGATGGGTCTTAACAGAGTTTTGAGGAAAGAGAGGAACGTTGTTGGTCAAGTAACAGATCTGTCCAACTCCCACTGGAAGGTTTGGTGATTGTGGTATGTGCTTTGTAGAAAATAAACCTGGATTGTATTTCTCAATAATTCCATCCAGAACAAATCTGAATCTTCAAAGGGTACCAACACTGAGCAATCTATACCCTAATCCCTTGGGTAATGCAGGCGGGCTCCCCAGGGCAGCCAAAGGCCAGAGAGATGTAGTTTCTTCTTTGTGGAACCAGCCTTTCCTGAGAGCTTGGTTTATGACTATGTACACGTGGCCTCTAGTCAGTGAGATAAGCACATTGATTGGCTCTGAGACTTACAACAGAGTTGCAATAGCAAGCAAGTGGCTTGCAGAGGAAGGAAATGTGGTGAGCCTCTAGGGAGGGGGCCTATTTTGACCCCAGTCTGTTTCTCCAGAGTGGGTGAGTTAACATCTGGAACATACCTTTCTAATGCCTGTGGAGAGATTGTGCTGCAGAAAGACTTAATCGACTTCTCCAGCATGAATGAGTTGTAGTTTGGAACTCTGTGCCTTTAAATAGAATGTGTTGCACCACAAGGATTAAGTAATTAACTGGGTCTTTCCAGCTTCACTGTTCCATGCCATTGACCCAAAGTTTGAAAAGTTAATAGGAGCATCATGCCAGGACCATTAGTTAGGCCAAGTGTGAGATGGGCTTATTTCTATGATGAGGCCCAATAATGAAAATAGATAATGTTTCAAGGAAGCTAAAAAGAAAGAAAATGTAACCTTGAAGAATCAGCTGTCATATAACTGAAAAAATATACAGTGTTTCCAAATTCATTTTCATGTGATCATTTCCCCAAGGTTTATTTTAAGAAAAAAATCGCATCCCTGTGGCTTTAAAAAAAAAAAAAAAAGACAAATTTGTGTAAATGAAAGCACATGTTGAAGAAACTATTTATACAGGAAAATGCCTACAGAATTTGTGTTTCCTTTTTAGTTTAAAGCATTTGAAGTGTTTATTCCTCTGATCCTGTGACTGTTGGCCCCCTCTGTGGCCCCTACAGTAGGCTTCATATCCACCTTGTCCTAAAAGCCTGAGTATTTCTACATACTAGCAGCACAAATGTACGTGTATTGTGTCTGTTACCCAAGGAATGGACATCCTAATGTACAACTTGATCCCATGGAGAGGAGACCCTGGCAATTAAAACACAGGTGTGGGGAGAGGAGTCTCCCATGATGTCCAAAGCTAATTTCATGTGGTTTTCCTTTCTCTTTCTCTTCTAGAATGCAAGCGAATTGAAGTTCTGGATGTTGTGTTTGTAATTGATAGCTCTGGAAGCATTGACTATGACGAATATAATATCATGAAAGACTTTATGATTGACTTGGTGAAAAAAGCTGATGTTGGCAAAAATCAGGTCCGGTTTGGGGCTCTGAAGTATGCTGATGACCCAGAGGTACTGTTTTATCTGGATAACCTCAGCACAAAATGGGAGGTGATTTCGGTGCTCCAGAATGACCAGCCCATGGGGGGCAATACTTACACCGCTGAGGCACTAGGCTTTTCAGACCATATGTTCACTGAAGCCCGGGGCAGCCGCCTGCACAAAGGGGTCCCCCAAGTCCTCATTGTGATCACCGATGGGGAATCCCACGATGCAGATAAGCTCAATGCCACAGCCAAGGCCTTGAGGGACAAAGGCATTCTTGTTCTGGCTGTGGGGATCGCTGGTGCCAATCCTGTAGAACTGCTAGCTATGGCAGGATCAAGTGACAAGTACTTCTTCGTGGAGACTTTTGGAGGCCTGAAGGGGATATTTTCAGATGTGTCAGCCAGTGTATGTAACACTTCGAAAGTAGGTAAGATTTGTGAATTACATTTTTTCTTAATTATCAGCTGAGATCTAAGTGAGGGAGAAACCAAAGCAATAGCCTTCAGGAGCAAGTTCTCTAGAGAGGAGAGAAGGAGCACCAATTGTCCTAGAACTCCCCATGTTATAGAATCTCAGGGCTGGAAGGATCTCAGAGACATTTCATTTGGCCTCCTCCCCATGGAGGAAATCTTCTACAGCATTCCTACTCCCTGCTTAAGCCCGTCTAATGATGGAGAATTCACCATCTTTGAACAGGCTTTGTTGATCAGAACACAAAGTTGTTGACACATCCTTCCTACCCACTTCTACCTCCACGTCTTCTTCCTCCTTTTCACGTAAGAAATCAATTCCATCCCTTCCTCAGAGCCAGCAGGTCTTGCCTGAAGTCTTCTCTCTGGCAGTCTGGAAGTCTCCAGTCCCTTCACCTTATTTCTGTTATGGCAAAAGCTCATTTAGAACATGGAGCCTGATATTAAATTCCAGACTCCAGTGTTTCCAGAGCAGAGAACGGGGATTTCGTTTGCCATGTGTTTCTAGTTCTGTGGCTAGAGATTACATTGCCACATTTATGTATGTATAAACTCATTCATTCAGTTGCCATTCTACCCCTTTGTTTTAAAGGGACACTGTGGTCTATTAAAATTCCTTAGTATTTTTATTAAGGTGTGTTTTACTAAAAATACTGTCATTAGATGAATTGCTATTGATCCAGGATTCCAACATCTTGGGTGCAGTTCCTTTTCTGGTTTTCCTATGCCTTGCCTCCTTAGAAGGCAGCTACTACCTTTTTCTTTCATGAAACTAACAAAATCTGTCTCAGTCTTACTGAAAACTGGTACAACTCTTAGCTTCTGTTGGCCAATGACTAAAATTTGATCTGTCCTTTTAAGGCCACTGCAGAAGTTGACATTGAAATTTTGTATTGACAGTTCTCCCTTAGGTGTTAAAAAAATATATAAGTTTAATTTCCTTTATATGAAACCAAAACAAAGGAATTAATGAGTTAACCAATTCCTAAAGTTAACTGATTCTGGTTGCCTTATTTCTCTTTATCTCTCTCTTGCTTATCTTGACTGCTGGAATCTCAGACACCTTTCATCTTAGGCTAACATGAGAATTAATTAAGTCAGTGGTGAGTTCTCTGGGGGAATTCAAGGAAATGATAATGTTTACCAGAAGGCTAAGGAATACACATGAGCCTGTGCCAAGCATAACTCATTCGTTGGCAGTGGTCTTTCATATTCTTTTTGTTTTGTATTTGTTGTATTAACACAAAGGAAGCATCTCTAAACTGTGTTGCATTGTTCAAAAATGTTTTTCCTCAAGTAGATGCTCTTGCCTATATGGACCAGAAAAGGGGCTGAAAAAGAATACAGACAAGATATAGACTGGAAGGCATGATTTTAAAACCTCAGTTTGCCCTAGTAATAACCAGCAAAGTATTGATTGGCTTAACAAGCCAGGGAGGCCAAGTCAATAATACAGACCATCTGTCTTTTTGTTTGAGTCTCTAAATGGATGTGTACTATTTTGTTTTTTCTTGCTGTGCTACCACTATCACTGGGTTTTCTGGAAGGGCTAAGGCTAGATTGCAAGTAAGAATGAATTTTCTGT